AGGAAATATTGGTAGAACCTAAGCAAATACCTAAATGCGTAAGCATCTATCTTTAGCTATGTCAAATAAAAGCTTTGTCAATAGTTACAGGCACGTTACATTGCTTTGAAAAGCAATGTTTTTCAAAACAAAAGCACTGCTTTTATTTTACCTCTTTCACTACCTCACTTTCAACAATTCCCAACCCAACTTGCCCTTACTGCGGGAAAAGAGACAGCTAAGCATATATAGTTCCACCTCTGTGTTGAAAGGACTAACGATACCAATGCAAAGAAAAGCCAGCCCTGTTTTGGGGCGTATGTGCCCTTTTCTTCTGCTGTGTTTTACAAAGCAAGAATCCACTCCTCTCCTACAAGTGACAAAGCTTGGCTATATTAAAACGAAGAAGTACATTCCTATGACTGTTTTTTTCAAAGACCTCCAAGACCTTTTAGCCAATTCTTTGCTTCACAGAAATATATGAACCATATCATTCCCCCTATGGAAAATATCTCTATTTAGCCACTCCATAGCTCCAGAAAATTTTGCAAGGATAAAGACAAGGATAAAAAATACAATATGTATCTGACAAGGGATCCCTAATGAGGGTTTCCCAGATCATGCATGAAAGGGGTGCAGCCCTCCCTCCACCTGGAATGCAGCTTTTTATGACTTTTCCTTGAGCCCTCCTCTGTCTCAAAGCACTGCAGTGGCAGTCAAACAACACTACTGTCCTCAAAGGTCAGAAGCACAAACAGTTTGCTCCTTCTCATCACACAAAATGATTTCCTAAGGTAATTTTTCGAGGAGGAAAACAGCAAATGAAGATACCCAGGTGCACATGAAAAATTACAACTAATTTGTCCCATTGTTTTATTCAATGGAGGCAGAGAACACAGAAATTTGGGGAGCACCAAAAGAACCATAACACTGAAGCTGTGAACAAAGGTAGCTCAGACATGAAAAGCATCAGACAGAAGCCAAGCCCTAGGATGAAAGTCTTCTGCTTATAGCTAGTTCTTTAAACAGCAAATTACACATGTATAATGCTGGTCCCAGTACTAGGTAAAGAAGGGGGAAACATTACTAGAAATGCAGAAAGTTAATTGAAAAAAGGAGACTTGTTTACAGACTTGCTTATGCTGAGGGAGAAGAGCAGCCTACAGTCAAATCAAAGGAAGTAAAAAATTGCACACTCAAATATGGGGGAAGAATAAGCACAGAGGATTTATTTTAAAGACTCTGAAATCTATGGGAAGAATTGCATTACATTAAGATATGCAGATCCACTTTCATGAAATTAATTTTCTACAGAAACATCAATGTGGAGAGATTTTCATTTATTTTAAAAACAGATTAAAAAAAAAAAAAAAGCTGTGTGTAACCTTTTTTTAGATAAATCATACCATCACTAAACCAGCTTTGAAGACTGGTTGCTTCTGCTGAGCACAGTGGGAGTTCTGCCATGGCCTGCGAGCCAATGGCCTGTTCCTCACTGCAGGCTGGAGAAAAGAATGTACATGAGCTGGAGCAGTGTTTGTGAAACATGGTGCTGATTTTAGTGATGGCTTTTTCCATGCACCAAGCATGAGATCATGTACAGGGCTGTATTTACATGGTGATGTAATTTTGCAGCAGAAGCTGGAAAAACAGAGCGGGTATATTCCACAACTATGCAGCCATGTCATATATATGTTGGCAAGATGAAATTAAGATGTGGGACAGCCCTGCCCCAAACTTCTAGACAAGCTTATGTTTTGGCTTCAAAATCAACTCATAACTCTAAAGGGAACTTTCATCAGGCAAACAATTTTGGAGTCAAACAGCATATGTACTTAATTGAATGCTTACAAAATCACCTTTTGTTTTATACAGATGTTCTGCCAACAAAAGGAAAAACCAGAGATGCCTAATGGAGATGCCTAACAACATGGCTCTATTTATGTTTTGATCACATAAGATCAGATGCTCAAACACAATTCTTTTCCAAGTAATGTTGTATGATAATGTGGTTTACAAACTGTTACATCCACTGATCTTCTGTGGCAAAATCTCACATTATTTTTTCCTTAAAAAGAATGCCATGGTGTGTCACTGAGACATAAAAACTTGAAAAATAAATTGTTTGACCTTGTTTACATACAGAATGTTATTAGTTATAAATAAATAAAACAGGATTGTTTGATTAACCAGTGAAATGATACATATACCTTTTGGAAAATCTGATCAAGTTTAGTCTATAGTTGGTTTCTAACTATGCAGGCACAGATCTCTGTATGAATAATATTTAATATAAGATCATAATTGTTCTTCCAGTTCATCCACATCCATTTGGGAGCTGATCAAAATAAAACTGGTTCATCTCTGAACCTCTGCTGCTTTAATAAGGATTGCTTTAGGTTAGGAAACTGGGTGAGTCACTGACTAGAAGCAAGAGCAAATCCAATTATAAACCATGTGTGCCTTTTATCTACAAATAAAGTGAATGACAAAATAGCTTTAGCAGTATTTTCAATGACAGTAAACTTGGATGTCACAATCAAAATAGTGTCTGAGGATGCTTTAGAGGGACAACATACAGCTGTGACCAACAGAAGAGTGTCCCAGGACACCTCTTATTTCCTTCTTGCATGTCAACTATTAACTCATTGAACTCTTAGCTGAAGCACAAAAATGCAGAACATTTTGGGAATGAGCACAGGGTGAAGCAGTGCCTCAGAGCAGCTCTTCAGAGTGCTGCAGGACCTGTGTGCATCTTGCACAAAGAAGCCTTATGGATCTCCCCCGTGTGTCAGCAGTCCCCCTACAGACAGCACTGCACAGAACAGGGTTTGTTAGCTGGCACTTTCTCAGAGAAAAAAGTAGGAATTAAGCCTGACTTTGAGAAGCTGCTAAACATTAGTATAAACAATTGGGGAAAATTAATATTTGCTGTTCATAGATTTTATTATAAACATGTAGATTAAATATTAGCATAGCAAAAAAGGGACTAGTTAGGCCTTTAGAAGGGTAAGTGTCCTAAAACTGTCCCAGAAATCCTTTTTATACAGCATCCACTGAGTTGGCAAATTCTGTAGAACCACTGCTCTGGTAATTGAAGTCTATAAAACACTGGGATGTTCCCTGTCCTCTCTTTTAAACAGAGCAGCATTCTGCATCAGGAAACAGTTAGTTTGCACTTTTGTTTATTGCCACAATGAATAAAATGTTCAGCCACAATGAATAAAAAAGATCCATGTATTCAAATAAAGATACTCCAAAAATATCAGTTCAGCCCACTTCATTTTTTTATTTTTCCCAGCAGGCCAGACTCCTCCCAACTGTTTTAACTGGTTGAAAATTATCAGTGTCAGTGAAGATCCTCTGGGCCTCCTGGGAGTTTTGCAAAGAGTAAGAGCTAGAACCAATATTTCTTCTCAAGTAATATGCAAAACCTTTTTTCAGTTCTTTTATAATGGCTGGCTGAAAAGCATAATATGTACAAGTCTGTAAAAATCCTTCTGTTTTCAAAATATTAAATTTCAAAGACAAACTGGATGGTTGAAGTTTTGAAAGTTTCAATTATCAACCGATGAAAAAAAAATTCTAAGTGTTTCTGTTTCTTCCTGACACTCAAAAAAATTGAAGTAAAGATGCTCTGAGCTGTATGCTTGATGAGGATGTGCTTTCCTGTAACAGCATTTTCTCTGCTCCCCATGTTCTATTGCCTTCCAGCAGCGAGTAATGTCACTGCCACTCTAGATCCTCTCAGATGGTGGAATTAGGTCCAAGTTATGAAGACAGGTAGATTTATTCACCATCTATACCAACACACATATTTGTACAGTCCAGACAGCCAACAGTACATATGTAAGCAGTGCAGTTAATGAAATATGTATGTATTTTTAAATCAGGTAGTTGAAGTAGTGCTAAGAGGTCTGTGCTTTTAGATTTATACATTATTAATTATATACTTGGTATTTTCCCCCCTTAAAAATAACTGGAAATAGACAACTGAAAATATGGGAACTAACAGAAAATATAATCCTAGGGTTTTGTTGGAAAAATACAATTTGCAATAAAAAAATGTTTATTTCTTCTTACTAGAAACAAGTAATAAAAATATACTCCCACACATAATTTTTTAGCATCCTAGACATGTAACAAATACTTCTGCAGTAGCAGCCCATCCTTTAAAAAAGTCTGAATCCCTTACAGTGCTGCATTTTAACTGATATCAAAAAGCACATAAAGTCAGTAAATCTTCGCTTACTCCTTTGTACATGTTAGCCTTTGTTTTGGCAATGTAGGCAAATGCTAGACCTTGTTGACTAGATAGGAAGTGGTTTACATATAAGTATTCTATATAAGAAAGCAATCTAAAAATACTGAATCTGATCCTAGGCAGGTTCCTTGCCTCCTTGTACTATTCCATTGATTCCAGCCAGAATTTACCCAAACAGAACAAGTCTGGAGGGCCCCTCTTGTAAAGATCACTAAGTCAGAGGAACTTTTATCTTTCCATCTCTCTGTTTTGAGAAAAGGATGGGGGCAAGCTCAAGCTACAGCCTTCTGAACAACCCTTCATCCAAAGTGGAGATTATAAAAGCCTACAGGTACTGCCTTATTGTGTACTTCCCTTTATACCTTCTCCTGCTGCCACAGCTTCCCCATTTGCTCAGGCACACGTTATTCTGATCAAATGGTGCCAACAACCCCAGCTGCTCACAGGTGCCCAGAATCAAGCCACTGACATGACCCATTCCCTGGACGTTGGAGTCTGCAAAAGACAACAATGCAGATGAGCATGTTGTCAGAGGCTAGTGAAACAGAGTTGATTCAAGCTGCTTCTCCCCAAAACTGAATTTCTGTGCTTTTATGAAATCCAAAAGGGGCAAACATACTTTTTTCAAGAAAGATTTTGTGAAATCAAACAAGCACTTTTTCTACTTCCCGAGTCTTCTTTTTAGTAGTATTTAGCCAGTATTTCTCTTGGTGAAACTGAATTTTCCATTTCCACAGAGGCATGATGCAGTGGAGAACTTCTGAAGAACTTGCATAGATAATATATTTATTTTTAATTTATACTACTTAAGATAGCATATGAATTTCTGTAGAAAAATCAGTTCTGAATTTCATCTCCAGTCTTCAAGATGCACCAATGCTGTACCATTTAACAACAACTTTTTCAGGATTTGCAATGGTATCTTTCCACTGCTCTACTGCTTCACTGTTGCTGCTATCAGAACTTAACCAGATCTGCATTAAGGG